TAGTAGGCACCAGACGTACCATAATTAGCGAGCTCTAGGAAGACCTCCTCATAGAAGGCTTCGAAGTGCTCCTGAGCGGCATCAGCCTGCTCGTCGGCGACGTCCTGACCCTCTGCCAGAGCTATGGCAGCCGGAGGGTTCTGAAAGGATACTAAGGGGTAAGGGGTCCAACCTGCCTTACCTGGTACATCCCCTTGAGGAGGACGGTCTGACTAGAGACCGGTCTGTTATGCTGTCGAGAGCATTGGTCACCGTGACGGCATGTTCCGATCTTGAAGTAGAAGGGGCAGTTCACACGGTCCTCTTCGGTACCGAAGATTCGGGCAAGATGCTCAGCCATTCAAGGGTGGTAGCAAATCACTCTGAGTACTGTGATTAAGCAGCGCATAGAAGACCGAAATTTCTCCAAGATGTCCAATAAGAGCTTACTAGGGCATCACAGACTGACCCTGTCGAACCCTCCACTGCTTTTTGCTTGATTGCGAAGGCAACTCACTCATAGACCATTATAACCACGCCTTCAACAGTAACACGATCGTGTACACCATCTTTCCGTTAGAGCCGATAAGCGAGAGAGTCCCGACGAATCGTATCAATGATCACAAAAAAACAGCAGAAAGATCAAGTCAATGAACCTCGAAACACCTGTTCGGAGTTATCGATTAGAACGGCGTGCGCGATTACCTCCATGTGGAACCCGAGCTGGTTAATGATATGTATGCAAGATCCTTTGTGGACCAAGAGCAGTATAGATGGTGAGTACCTTAGGGAGATGATCGCTTGTTGTGGGGTGATCAGAAGTTTTCACAGGCTTTGGTTCGAGGACCAGCTCGGTGACGCGAGAGAAATACTAAGAAAATGCTAGGGAGTATAAGTCCTCAAGATCCGGATTAGACATGTGAGTGAGTCAAAATGCGACTCTCGATCTGAGTTTGAACATGAGCACTAGTATGATGAAGTCATCATTCACGACGATGATAATTTTCCGGAACGATATAATCTTCGATGCTGTTTTAGTGGTTCGTAGTGTTCGTAGCTCTCGGCGGCTCTGTCAGAGCCGCTCTGACAGTCAGAGTCTGACTGGATTTGACATGGAGGTGTCCTTACCTAAGACGAAATGCATGATATTATCTGAGGGGTTGAGCGATTCCAATCTGCGTGTGAAGATAGAGGACTCTGACGTCGAAAAGTAGATAAGTTTGTCTACTCGGATAGTCTCTTCCCGGAAGGGAGGGAGGGCCTTAGAAGCACCGCATAGGAATCGGGCAATATCAGCTCTTGAGAAACCAAGTAGTCTTGCGGTTGTCCCGAAGTCCAATGAGGTGTCGTTAGCGTCTAAAGAATCGATCGTTCTATGGTCTAACGGTTAGTGATCATTGCCGTTGTTCATATGGCTCGGGTACGATACCCGCGGGTTTCAAAATCGTGTAGAGTTTCGAACAACGGCATATGGTTGACGTAAGTGGTACCATATTTGGTAACGAACTAGGTCCCATGCAGAGGTCGCTTCCAGGAGAAGCTCGGGATGCTCTCTGCTGCAACTATCTACGATGTAGTGCCCATGGACCAGGTTCACTGTTAATACGACTCAGAGTCCTATTAACTGTCTCTAAAGATTGAAAAAAGAGTCCTTTTGGGACTTCTTATCTACAGTGAAGTGACCAGAGTATAACTCCTACGTCCTGCCAGCTCAGCCACATGTCATCAGTGATGACCTATATCCAAAGAACCACTGAGTATCTGAGTCCGGGACGCCCCATTGCTCGGCGCGACTCGATCTCCAACATATTGAGTATCTGTAAGGGCGTGGACGATTGCAGCGATGCGATCAGCGATATCAGAGCAGAGGCCATGGAGAACGTCTCAATGGAATGCTGATCGTCCAGGCACCAATTCGGAATCGCAGCGCGGGTAGTGTTATCAAAATGCTCTCGCAAAAGGTCACTGCGGGTTAAAGTTAGTATTTTCCCTCCTACCGCACCACGCGCAACGCCAAACTTTCTGTTCCTCTGAACCGGCATTGGGCAGCCTAACTGGCTTGCAGCCTTGCACACCGCGCCGACGTAGCAGAGTTTAGTGCCATACAAAGGCTGCAATAACTTTCACATTCACATGCAGTTCAATCCTGCCCGGGTCTCTCTTGGGGCGCTCGGTCGTGAACAGAGTGGAGGCATACGTTGCTGGTGTTCTACTGAATGATATCGAAGGTCTACAGGAGAAAGTACCGGAAAACGGCAACTATGAAGCTCTGACGCTATTGACTCAATAGTGTCAATTAGAATTGATTGCAATAACTCATATCGTCGGCGTCGTTATATAGCTGGTCCGGCCGATGAATTTGATTTCACTGAAACCAAGTGAGCCTTCGAAAGGTGTAGTAGCGGCTTTTAGGAACATATTTTTAGTACATTGGAGTTTCACCCGTGATATGAAAAACATTAGCGAAAAACATATTTCACGACTACTGCATATCACCGCGAATATCACGTTTTACACCGAGTCTTACGTCACTTCACGTAAAACGGCTGAAACTCCATTGGAAAGCCACTAGTGCTGGGAGGATCTGAACTTCGGATTCTGAAGGCGACATCCTCGGCATTATGGCTGTATGGCACATAGCGACTACTCTACCTCGTATAGGGTGCGTATTGTTTGCTATGGTCGCTGTCGTGTTGGCCCGACCAGCACGAACAGCATGATGCGGAGTAGTGGAGGAAAGTAAGCGCATGTTTTACTGTATGTGGTGGTGATAATATGAATATTCTGATAAAATTTTGGGGGAATCTTGTTAGTTGTTGCTTACTTCTAGCCGAACTCGTGTGTGAATTCTCATAGTGTAGTGAGGGAACTTTTGAGCTCAGCTGAGGAAACCAAATATATATATTTCAACACTGATGCAAAATCTCACAATGCTGTATTTTGAATTGGAACCTCTCCGTCATTGTGAAGACCGCGCTCGTTCGCACATCGGGTTTCATGCCAGGCATCTTCTCGCGCTTTTTTCCGGATCAATTTACCAATTCGAGCAGAATCACCAGTAGTCGATGATGTGGACTATGATGCGATTACGCTCCAAGGTCTGACCTTACTATTAAAGGGTGACCCAAATAAGATGTCCTATTGTCTGTAACTTGCGGAATAACTCAACGAATTTCCCAGTGAGAGGTAGCTCATTAGAGAGATCTTCATCTCGAGATGATGAATAGAGATCTCATTCATCATAGGGAGATCTTCATCAACATTTTTTTCATCTCGCGCTCTTGGCGATCGCTTTTCAATGGGAGGTCGCTTTATTTGGGGCACCCTGGCTAGTGTCTCTCCCATTAGGAGGCTCCTAAGTCCGCCTGTGCTTGACACGTTCGGTAAGACAAGTGTCAAGCAGAACGTCTCTCCTTGGAAAAGTTTTTCCCGCAGATTTTCTTACCGAAAAAATTATGCAAATCACCTCGTCCTCTCGAAAAATAATCCTTGCTGAGCTTCTGATTTATCGAGCAAGTCATGAAGTCATTAGCAGATGATTGTGAAAATGATAATCATCAACATTATAGTGATGCGTGGTCGCCATGCTAACAGTTCCTACATTAAACATATGTTCAGTTGTCAATTACAAAGTGACATTCAAAAGCGTTGAACAGTACACTCCTATGAATGACCGATAGGCAGCCTTGTGCACCATTCGGGATCTTCCTCGTGGACACTCACCGGGGTTCGACCATATGGCGGATTGACTCGCCTCTCTCGAGCCGTGCTGTTGACCAGCTCAACAGCCTCGCCCTCAAGACGGTCGCTTGCATGATGTTCGCTCTCGAGGTGCTACACTTCCCGAAGCTGCTGTTGAAACACTTCGGCGTCTCAGAAGCTCGATAGTGAGCTTTACGAGTTCGACGTGCCCGCCCAGTCCGTGAGGCTGTTCGTTGAGCGACTGCCTCATACTAGTCAGTGCATATGCGTCTACGTACCACTCGAAACTGCCAGATCTTACATCAGCGCAGGAGAGGTGCGTCAACACTACTGACCGTTTACTTTCCTTTCTGCATCAGCACGTGGTCCGTCTCATATCGCGGATGAGCAGAGCCCTCACGATGGGCGAAAGTGCAGCATCGGGTTTCAGTCACAGAGAGCAACTCACTGCTAAGTGTCTGCGGCAGTTGGCCGTGGCTCTGAGCACCGACGTGGCAAGTTTCGCTCACGGGTTTGCAGCCACTTTGGTCATCTACGAGACTTCGAATGGTTTATCGCGGACGGCCAAGTCGAGAGGGAAGAAGTGTTTACCCTTACGCAGATCACGGGTGACTCTTTTACGGCGTGCAATGACGAAGCCACGAGCAATGTGGTCATTTGGTGACCTCCCTGGTGACCCGCAATCCTATCACTCACGAGTTTGTGGAACTAATATACTTGTTGACGATGCGATTCTGGGAGAGTACCGGGTGACGATTCTACCCATCGAGTGTCGTGGCTCCAAAGGCCGGCTCGCCACGGCACTCCCAGCTGAATGCGCTGACAGTTGCTCATCTCTTCCGGTTATGACTCTTCTGATGGCAGTGTTGCGGTGCATATTCGCATGTGCTCAGTCATGATGAGCATTCCGATCATCCACACGATTCCAAAACTCATGTCATTCTTTGCTGGCCGATATGAAGTATCAAACTCAATAAGAGCCCCGTTTTGAATGAGATCAGTGTATCAATCGAGCTCAGGTGAGTCGTTTTCTAACAGAGACAATGCCAGTCAACTGTGTACCAGATATTCTAAGCGATTTCATCAAGCAATGACCAACAAACCTATCGAGTACAGCGGAATTCGACTTATTGTGGCCAGCCTAGCCTCTAGGTTTTACAGGCCAGGATAAGCCCCCTCGCCTGGTCGTAACTGCACCGCTATACTCGTCAAAAGTTGAGCACTGTTCATGATATTCAAACTGTATTGAGTGAGTGTTCATAGTAGGGGTCCGAGTCGTTGGCGGGGGCACATACGTGCCGGCTTTTGCTGTGCGTCGTTAACTTCGTATTACTAATGCGCAATCCGCAACTCGATGGAGACAGGTTTTACGCGAATAGATTCACGTACAACAAACAGAGAGACCTTCTTGGTGAAGGCACATACGGGAAAGTGTAGGTCCATCTGGCATCCCAATTAGTTACTAAGTGGAGAGCAAATTCTCATCAGGTACCGCGCATTCGACACGTTTGCCAAGTCTAGAGTTGCATTGAAGCTTGTGAGAATGGTCGCCAGCCATTCATTTGGTGCCGACTTTCTTCACTAACAGGTGACGTTCGATCCGATGATTGAGGGCTGCCCTCTACTTGTCTTGAGAGAGCTCGGTACCATACGTAAGGTCCTCAATAATGTCGGGGAAAGAGACAGCGGCTATCGACACATTGTGAGTCGTGCCGCCTCTCCTCATGATGCGGATCTATGTTGCATGCACCCTGTATGTGTAGGTCAGCCTACGAGACATCATCTATGAGTCCGGTGGGAATTCCGTGGGCATCTCTTTTGAGCTGTGTGACTGCGATCTACGGCAGTATCTTGTTCGCCATGGCGCAATCACGACTGACTATCAGCGACTTGAATACTCGTACGATCTGTGCTTGATGATGCTGATTTTCAAAGCGCACAATAATGGGGGTAATCCTTCCTTCAGGCGGCAGATGTTTGCCGGACTTTGCTTTTGCCATGAACAAGGCGTTTTGCATCGCGATGTGAAGCCCCAGAATGTTCTCATTAAGGGCAACATGCATAGCGGCTCAGCATGTAACCATCATATATCTACTTACGAGACTCCTCGGGTCAGGCCTTAAGCTAGCGGACTTCGGACTTGCTCGGACATTCCGGCCGGATGTTCGTGCTTACACTAGGGAAGTGATCTTGGCCTCAACAATGAGTTATTTCCATTACTCCGTGGGTCAGATCCAAACTCTGTGGTATCGAGCGCCCGAGATCCTCCTTGGTGCAAAAGAATACGGCCCTGCTGTAGATATTTGGAGTGCAGGAGCGGTCATCTACGAGCTTTGTGAGACGCCTGAGGTAGACGGTAGACCAAGCTATGCTTCAGGCACCAATCGCGCACTGTTCCAGAGCGATTGTGAGGTCATGACACTCATCAAGATATTTCAGCTCCTCGGGACGCCAGTCGTTACCAATTCACACACATTTGAGTTTTTCAGCCAACACTTCCCCAAATGGAGACGATCAGAGGCTCAGGTATGCTCGTTAGCATTAATGCCCAATTGAATCCCACGACACAGACAATTGTGATGTTAAACGAGAAAGTCCACTCGACAACTGTCTCGAGGGTATTGACAAGCATTCTCAAGTTCTGGCCTACAGATCGACCATGTGCTTCCCGAGCAGTTCAGCTCTGTTCATCATATCAACCTCGCGGTAGCTATCGGTCATATCGGGTGGTATTGCAGATGCCAGTGTAGATTCATTCGCTCACCGAGGAGGATAGAGGAGACACAGGACATTCAGCGATTCATTATTCACGTCTCATCATGCTAGTTTTACTTCGTTGGGTTTTAGTAAGGTTGGGGTAACTTCTTTTGGTGGGTACCACTATAGCGAAGCACAGCTTGTTGTGTGGGTAAAGTAAACCCAACGAGCACGCCTTACAGTCGAGCTATCCCAGGGTCGATGGCGACGAATTTCACCCTTGCGTGCATTGCGATGGACGTGAGGGAACGTCGTGCTTCTGAGTCCACTCGTTGCAAAGGAACAGACTCAATGATGGATCTCCGATCAGTGACCGATGGTGTCGAGAGGAGAGTATTCAAGCAGAAGTGATGACACCCCGTAAACAGCATCCCTTGTTGTGGTAAGCGAGCCAATTCTATCACACATATCTGGCGTATCACTATCTCTATCAGTTTGCGTGGTATGGATCAAAAGTTGCACTTTAAACACAAAAACTTTCACTGCAAATGCTCATGAATTTACTCGAAACCTCATGCATAGTCTCAAGAACGTCGTACATAGGCGTGTCCTTGTTCTTCCAGAACTTGACGGAGTAGCAAGGTTTCTGAAAGGACACAGATTGCCAGGCAGCACCCCAACCGGACTCACTGATAGCTTGCTGCACGTGCTTGGGTTCAAAGTCCTTCTCCAGTTCTCTGTGCAAAGCCGTCTTAGGCCTGCGACCTCTTATCTGTAACCTGCGCTTGATAGCATCCTCGACCTGATACCTGGGAAAACCACTTGAGTAAACATGTTCTCCTCCGACATACACTTTCTGACGATCCTCGTCAGTCAGAGCGCCTCCCCCCATTTGGTTGCGATTGGCGGCATCGAGAGTAGCCAGGGTGAACAGCCTCACCGCATCTTCAACGTGACTCACTTGCACCCACTCCGATAAGCTCATCTTCGCAAATGCCTCAGAAATACTAAAACTCGAATGCAATCACCCTCGGAAAGCGACAGAAACCCACCGGGTGATCGCCTCAAGCTGTCTGACCGTGATAGGGATTGTACTATGACCCTCACGGCGCTCCTTCGACACACCTTGTCTGTTCACAACAACTCTTTCCTCTCCACTCAGACAATGCAATAACTCACCTAACCTGAATGTAGTGGTTCTGCAACACATTAGCCGCCTCCGGGGTGAGCTTGGGTGAGCACCTGTCACCAAATCTCACAGCAACGGGGACGTACCCGTCTGCTACCTGTGCCTGGCGAATGCTATGTATTTCTTGAGGTCTTGAACTTTGATCGGGGCATCAGTTACTTCTTCCTCCTCCTCTGATAGGAATCCTCAATTAAAGAGTTCCTACTGCCTTTCCTCACCGGCCACACCGCCGCCGCCTTCCTTTCGACGTCCCTCTGCTTTGTGTAGTTCTGACAGGAGACGTTCACTCCGAAGGATTCTCCCACTACCCCTCACCGAACACATGCTTGGCGATCGCCAAGTCCCTCTCTTCATCCTTGACCTGAACACACCACACCTCCCATCACGACCACGCCCATGCCAACCCACGTCCTTGACCAGGAATATGAGATCGAATCGACTCAGTATAGTAGTCGCGAAATCCATCTGCTCAGCCGCATCAGCGACGTCCATCCACTGCCCGAACAGTGGGTTGGCCGCCGCCAAGACCGAGCATCGAGTGTTGAGAATCTGCGACCAAAGCTGCCGACCAACTCCACCACCAGAAGCGCCTCACTGTGGTGATGCCAGCCTTGGCAATAGAGATAGTCTGTTGCTCCATGGCTTCATGGATCGCCACACGATCGTCGGGCCGCATCTTATCGAATTCATCGATACATACCACTCCACCGTCAGCAAGGACCTACAACCACCTCCCCAGAGCAAACGCCTTCCGCTGCTACCATAGCGCCGCCCTCTAGGGCAAAGCGCCCATCAGCGTCTCGTATGATAGCCGCAGTGAGACCAGCAGCACTCGAGCCCTTCCCACTCGTGTATCTGATGACTCTTCGAGCGCCACTTCTTCCAGCAGACCTACACAGCTATCGGGGCGACTTGTTCTGTGAACTTCAGGAACTGCGACTTCGCCGTACCAGGATCACCGAGCATGAGCACATTAATATCTCCTCTCAATCGAGTACCTCATCGATTCAATCTCGAGCGACCCCAGCAATGTCCTTACCATCTTGAAGGGTCTTCTGTGCGCCCCCAAACAACAAGCAAGCAATAGCGATCTTCAAGTCGCTGATACAGTCCTTAACACTGCCTCTGATTGCAGGGGCCACCGACGCGAACTGAACAAATGAGCACTCAGAAAACGACAAGACATAGGTAGCATCACTATTTTCTCCTTAATTTCAGGGTCTTTAGCCAACTCAGTGAACCTGTTGGAAGACTACCCACCTCGCATAAATTTCCAACCCCTACCGCTCCTCGTCTGCCGGGGAGAGCCTCAGTGTATTCCCTGACGCCCCGCCTCGACCAGTTACGTCTCCATGAGGCATGAACCCAAGAGCCTGAGGAGCAGCACGCAGATGATCATTGGGCGTTGCCACGAGATAGGACCAACCTGAACGTAGCACACTTTGACGCTACCGTCGTTGTCCTTCTTCTTGTCGCCGTTCCTGTCCTCTGTACTAAACACTCCCACGACCGACACTCTGCTGCCAGCAGTAACCTATCAGCGACCTGCCTCTATATCGGTACACGATGTGACGGATTTACGGTATCAGTAAGATAGCGGGTGCAGTGCACTGGTATGCTCCGTGGCATTTCTCCTGTTGGTACGTCCTCCGGCAGCTCCTGAATCTTCAGCGTCTGGGTGTCTTGATATTGGCATTGTTCCGATACTATGATATACCTCAAACAGGACCAGTGTTAGTCTCGAACAAAGAGACGACTCACGGGTCCAGGCCGCATTTTTCACCATCGGGACCGGCCGAAAGCTCTCGAGCACACCTGAGGCAAATAAGGGAGGAAAAACTGGTGACTGCTACCTTCTTGGGATCGCTGTTTTGCTGCGACTCGTTGGTTTCAAATCCAGTGTACGGGAGTGACCACACCTATAAAAAACAATAATAAAAGGTTTCAACAGATACCACACGGCGACCAACTTCTTGCAACGGATGCGCAGCTTGAACGCCTTGTGGACTTTGATGGACGCCTGAGCGGGAACGAGGCTAATTAGGAGTTGTTGTGAGAGTGGTATCACCTGCACGATTATTCCCGGAATCACTACGAGCCTCTCGACATGCTCGCTCTGCAGTTCACGAATCAACTTTGGATTCTCCCAAGAGGCCAGCTGAAAGTAAACATCATTTCTCTACACTAGAGCCCCGTCCCACTCCCACCTTGAGCTGGAATGTAGGCATGCCTCGACGGAAGCCTTGGTCGTCCACTTGGACCTGTCCCCCATCAACGGGCTCCGGCAGACCGCCTGTCAGAAAGCAGTCGTAATAGCACTAGGAGCACTGTGGCTACTCAGTTCGATGAAAACGTCTTGCATGGCTTGTTCATAAGAGCTCATGAATCTTTGCGGCTGGGTCCTCAGGGCGTGACCAAGGGCAGGGGCGAATTGATCAAGATGGTGAACAGATAGGGTCATCGAATACCTCACGAGGGAGTTCAAAACAACCACCCCTCGGTACGGCGGGCCTACACGCCGCGACTCCAATTGTCGATAAGCTGATCTCTGTAGACGAATTTCTGTCCTTGCCTGAACTCCTTCACGAACCTCTTGAACCCGGCTCGTGCCTACCAATGCGAATAGCAGACGAGACGATGTGGTACCTATAGGACTTGGCCTTCGTTAGCAGGGAGGAGGTTCTGGTCTAAGGCGGGCTCATCGTCGAAGCCACCGCCCCCACCGTAGTAGAAAGCACCGTCCATGCCTGCACCAGCTCCTGCCATTGCTATGGAGAGTGAACACTGAGTCTGAGCGATAAGACTACACCTTTTTGAATATCAAAGTTCGTTCATAAAGGCATCGCACGGAAACACAACGACAATAGTCGCCTTCTGAAGTCGATCAGACCGAGAAGGGACTAGGTGCTTAGGAAGGGTAAAATCAACTATAACGCTAGCAGCTCTGCTGATCGTCTAACTCATCAGCAGGAGAACTGCGAAGGCCTGGCAAAATGGGGAACGGCCGCATCACACGTAGTTTTCGCGAGCCATTGGGTCTGTTTCATAGGAGAAATTTTCGTCTTGAACTTGAGTACCGTCCTAAGTTTATCTGAAGTAAGTCCTTAGGTTGCTCTCAAGCTCAAGGCCCCTTAGGCTTAGAATCCTTGTGAGACAGGCCCATTGTATAGAATGGCTAAGTCTGATCGATGAATCAAGTTCTTAGGGAAATAACGATCGAAGTTGCGCTGTGGTGTCGAAGTATTTTCGTGGCACGCGAAACGTTCGAAAATAGTTGCACGCATGCACATCATTTTCTGCACTACTCCCAGGAACGGTACTCCACATCATGCCTGCCCTCACATTAGGAGGTGCACCTTGCATCTGATAGGCACAGGAGGCACCTCAAGGTCCCTCGCCTTACCCTTAGGCCCCGATTTGCAGCCTTTGTGAAATAACCTAACCGCTATTGGGTGCAAAAATCGCCTAGCGCCTTACGATTTTCGTGCCTAACCGAGGCTTGTGAAATGGACCCCTGGAGTTCCCCTATACTTTCCAGGGTGGTGGTTAATGAACCCTAGCTGGAACGTGCTCGCCCTTGTCTACTGATCAACCGAAAATCACATGGGTGCGCACTGCGCAAGGTTTGCGCAATAATCAAGAGTATCGAGTCCTCGGCCGCTAAGGTGTCATGGCGTGCCTCTCGTGGCCTTCCCAATCACCATACTTCGATTCTCCCTGTAGATTCAGTACACGCCTGGTGACAACAGTCTCGCATTCAAGTTTTACTCCCTGAAAGGTAACGCACAGTGGGCTCAAGGCATCTGCTGAATGACTCTGACAGGGGACTCCATGCCATGGAGTCCATGGGCTGCCCTTCCTGACGTTGCAGCATTCACCCTAGGGACGGGTCTCTTTGCAAACTCCGTGTTACCATTGAAGTGACCTTGTGCGTAGTTGTCCGCCCACGTCCTTATCATGAATCACTACTTGCTTGTGACTGATCAGGCTTGCGTTCAGTCACGGCGAATCGATGCACACTGTAGTCATTACTCTTTCAAGCCACAAAAGATGACGAAGTTTCAACCACCGCCTCGCGTGAGTAAGTCGAAGTCGAAGACCTGTCAGGTCTGCGGGATGCCACTCAGTGGCGAAGCTAGGTGAGGGCACAGACCAACAACCCCTGCCGTTTCGTCGGGGTACTCAACAGATCCCTCCTGCGTTACAAGAGCACTCCCAGGATTGCATTATAATGTATAACTCGATCCCGCGAGCGCTCTCGAAACTCAGGGGGGAGTCTATTGGATACCCTGTCTGACCAGTGCTCGAACGTTTGCTCAGTGTAACAAGTCGCTAAGATACACAGCGCAACCCTGCGGTCACGGACCGTTCTGTTACGGCTGCACAGAAAAGTTGAAGATGAGGCCTTCAAAACCCATCTGCAAGAAATGCAAAGAGGGTCCACAAAGATTCATCAGGAGCTTTGAAGAAAGCCACCACAGAGAACAGGAAGTGCCCAGCGCACCTCACACTACATGTACCGATGTGTGAACAGACCCTCGTCACGAGTCAGAGATGCCAACCCTCTTGCCTTTCACGAACGATGATGCGGTACCTCATTCGAGAAGTAACTGGGAGCAGTAGCTCCTGTATATGGGCGTTGCGATTGCCCCTTCGCAGATGATGACCATGAATACCTAAGTGGCCAAGCCAGGGGAGATATCTACCGCATGACTAATGGCGAGCTTCGAAATAGTGGAGACGACAGTCGCAAAGGAGGTGACTTTATCGGTCGGCGTGCTTCAAAAAGATCATTGTGCCTTTGCAGCAGCAGATGATGACCATAAAGAGCTTGAAGTGAAAGTGGGAGGGGCCCCGTCGTTGATCGAGACACCTCAGGGGCTCTTTGCTCCTGATGAGCTTAACAAGAACACCACTGCGGATGATGTAGAGTAGAGCAAGCAACGGCTACCCGCGGCCCTCCTGATCTCAGGGACGCGAGCTCCCGACCGGAACCGTAGACGACGTGCCTGTTGGGGAAGACCCCTTGCTGGGCATAGTTCGAGACCCTTCAATGCTTCTTGATGTCGGCTTATCGATTGAGCTCGGCAAGACGAAGGCTATTGCACTGTATGGTACATAGTCGGACCTTGAAAACAATGACCACGGTGGCAACGTCACACGTTGACATTCTACTGATTCTCCTCGTACATGAAAAACAGTCGACTTCGGCTGGGGCGTCGAAGGACCCGGTCAAGTTAGGTTCAAGGAAAAGAGGTTCCTTGAGTCGGTCGAGATGCTCACTTGCTGTATCAACAGCCATATCCAAGCCGAATCGTCCAACACCGCCCTGCGATCGGTAGCTTGCGAGAAACGAGCGTCCCAATCCCAACTTGGCTGGTAGATTCTCCACAGCAATAGAGCCCTTGCCGTTCTGAGCTACATAAAAACCGCTGTTGTAAAGGATGACAGCGATACGACAGACGCTCTTTACAGGATAGTGGTGGAGGATTGCGATTCGGCATTGCATTTTGACCGTGAGGCCTCACCTAGTCTGGAATCTCACTGGCAATGGACTAGTGACACTGACTGTTCTTCGCCATACGATTCTGTGCATGCCTGGTATTCTCTCACTCAGGAGACAACACCAAGGCAATGTACCGAAGAGCCCTGGCCTTCAACGAACTGGATGAGTGAGTAACGAAGAGCATTCTGGGTATGGCACTAGTCACGATCAGCCTCGATCGGAGTTTGGAAGATATCAGTCGGGTCCTCACAGTCTTCTCTTCCCGCAATGAATCTCATCCAGAGGCGGTGGCCCTGAAAGAAGCAGTGATGACGAAGCGCAAGGCTCTCGAGAAGTGGGGCCTCGTTTCCTCATGAGCAAGTCGATTGAAGCATCAGGAAGTGGGGTGTGAAGGGCCCAATCAGCGTCTCCCGCTTGTGGAATAAACCGACGGGGCGTCCACCAGCTGACGAGACTCCCACTTGGCCGGCATCCATACAGACGAGCAAGCTCGTGACCATGCCTGTCGCCGCGCCCAATGTTGTCACAGAGGACCGATCGGAGGGAGTATTGAACCGCAGGCGCAAGTTTGAAAATTTCCATGCTCAGTCTGGTGTTTTCGAGAAGAAAAAAAGGTCGAATGATGGTATCTGTAAAGCCGTCTTCAAGGCCTCTACCTTGGAGAGAGAACTGCGGCGGCTCAAGTCGAAGGTGTGTTCGCGTGGTGTAGAAGAGGAAAATGATCCTATCAGGGGGACTGCCTTGTAAACTTCATTGCTCATGAGTTGACACCTTCGAAATTGAAAGCTGTGGGAGTCGGACCTGCTGGCCTTTCTGCACTGGGTGAGCATCTCGAGCCAAGGGAAAGTGCTTCATACCATATCGTCGAATACTTTAGATCCGGATTGCGCAGGCGCTATGTTGCAGGGACTATGTGAAGCTGCAAGGAGGGAGGAGATAGATGAATATCTTTTGTGCGAGTATATTGAAACCATGAGCAGCACTCGAATGGTAAGCATTCTCTACTATTCCTTCCGTTTTGCTTCCTATAGATCTCTCCTATGGTCATTATGATGCTCGACCAGTCCGAGCGGAAGTGTCTCAGTAAGAATGTTCATCGATCAGCGAATTTCAATGACAATTGGTTGTTGTTCCTCTGTGCAGACGAGCTTGGAAGTTACATAGTTGATGTTGACGACCCGATCGCGGTTCGTGCTCGGAGCATCTTAGAAGATTGGCATGGGAATGGGGTGTGATGGCATTGATCGCGACAGACATGCATTGTGTTCGAGTTTGTGTCACTATAGTCAGTCAACCGGATATTCAACGAGAACTACTTCGCCGATCTCCTCTACTGTTCCAAAAGCTTCAAGCCGCAGCTGATACTTGCTAGGTATAAATATGCTGTTGCCTACCACATCCTAGGGCTGGAGAACGAGACAATAAACTCGAAGTTTCATGGCACTAGACAAACTCGTTAGCCCTGATGGGATCAGTTAATTGTTGCCCTGCCTCAAGACGTCAGTTATAATCTCCCTTTCTTACATTGACATTATCGATCCATTCTACACTCCTGTTATCTACGCAAGCGGTCATAGATGCATCTCAAGACCAACATCACTGTGGCGAACCAGTGATGGTCTTAACGTGGGTGATTGCCCTGATGGAATTAGTTATTGCTAGGGATTTGCCGATCTGGATAACATTATATTGGATATAATAGCAGGTGTCTCAGGAAGCCTGATCATACTTAATCGATGCAGACTATCCTCAACATGAGCTCAGTTAAGGGTACGAGGGATTGGGACAGCAATAATGATGCACCAGCATCTTCCATTCGAGTGCTTATGCCTCTGCGATGCTGTTGATTCGTCCAAGGTTGGGTTGGTGATGAAGGAGATACTCCACATGAACTCAAGTAACCAATCGAATACAAGAAACACGCTCATGAAACAGTGAACATCCTTCGCATATGATCTTCTTCGTTCTTCCGTATCTCTGCAGCTCTGCGCTTCCTCCGCATATGAGGATTCCTCAGCGCCCAACATTCTTTGGCGATGCTCATCTCTCGCTCTCGGAGGGCTTCCAACTACATGATGAAGGATTCACTATGCCAAGCAAATCGGAAATCAGTAAATATTTGCAAATCCATTCCATTGGTTGCTGCGACTGATTGTATTTGTACATTCCACTAAGGCCACAGACGATTCTTTCTTGCCTGTTGCTTAGCAAAAATAAAAGGCTGGTAATTTCCCATCTTGAACATCGCAAGTCTTCGTTTTTCTCGCTCATTTCTTGGCTTCCGTTTTTTCCGAGACTTTCCCGTTACTTGCGGTCCTTCATCTGAACGCTAATAACTCATATCAACCTCAACCAGACACAGCCGACCCGCGTTCCTCCGCGCCTCCTTCCTGCCATCTCGATGACGCTTCAGCAAAGCATTCGCTTCTTCTACTGGGTCGTGCCCGGCCTCCATCTTCTCGAGCATCGTTAGAAGCTTCGATCGGCAGAAACTGCAGAACAAACCCGATCCATTTTCTACTGCGGTGTCTTAAGCCTTCATATTCACAGCCATTTCATCGCCACTCAACAAGAGATAGACGAGTCCCTCAAAAATGCATGTCAGCGGATTAGTTTTGAGGCGTGAGTATCCGGCATCATGCATGCTACGTACCTCTCATAGATATTGCCTGTCTCTCCCGATGAGACGTCCCCTCCGGCAACTTCATTCCGCCTGGCCGATGCACGTAGGCACTTCAGTTCACGATCATGAAACAGGGAAGTCTCATTATCATCATCATCCTCTATAGGCTGACTGTTGAATTGACGGCCTAAGGAGTTGAACTAACGTTCTACCGGCTCACCTAGGAGTCACTACAATAGCAGGTTAACTAGTCAAGGCTCGAAATTCTCACACAGGTGACCAAGGTTCGAATCCCGGCACCAGGATCTTCACACCCAGTCATATTCGACTCTATTCACAAAGATTTATACAAGGGAAATAGAGCTCCATAACAACGCTCATCATCCCCCCCCTTCCCAAGGTCAACAACATCAACAGACAAGACAAGATCCGTAACGGACCAAGAACGCGCTGAGTTACCTGACTGGGTCTGTTTCGAATCAATCTTAGCATCTACGCCAGCAACATCATGAACCCTCTCATGTAAGTCTTCGAGGACTGCAGGGACTTCACCGAGCCTCCTCTTGAGCTCGTTGTAAACCTACGACAATCAATACCGCTACGGAGGGAAAAGGAGGGGACTTCACCTCATCACACAAGTCTCTCTCGGCTGCTTTGAATGTCTTCTTTCCGGCTAGCAATACTCGACAAGCTGCTTCCAGCAGGGCATCATGTTGGACACGTTTACACAGAGCCATGCACTCCCAAGCGTGGCGATGGTTCATGGTATTGGCAAGGTCAACGAGTCGGCCGCACACGTCCTTTAGGGTCTCAATGAAGGCGCTCGTATGCGCTGATAGACCGTGGGCAACCTTCAATGCATTGCTCCTCGACAGGTGACTGATGTTTATATACGGTAACGAGCACTGTGCGACGAAAGGTAACTCAGTCGCGGGTATAGCAGCCAGAAGCCGGCACAGACGGTCAGACGAGTTGACCTACGAGAACACCAGGGATAAGGAATCATCCGAGCACTCCGGTAACGTGAACAATGCTATTTCAAGATCAGGAATCGTTAACACAAGTCTGGGGATCCGGCGCGATCCCCATGAATCGTCAGAAGTCGCTCACTCACCTGTGCCGGGTCGAAGGTGTCGAGCATCTTCTCTATAAGGGCCACGTTCTGTAGGGGCCTCCCAAGTACGTAGGCACTATATAGAACGTCACATACTGCGATCGAGTTCCAATCACCCTGATGCGCGAGTAGCTTGTCCAGTAACTTGCCTCGGCCTCTCACAGATGCTTCCCGAGGAAGGGCACGGCACAGGCTGACCAGAGCGCTGCTCGCCAGTATCACCAACTCAGCAGTAAGATCCTGCTTGGGGTAGTAGGCCGATAACGCCTCCGACAAGTGCTCAATGAGGCTCTCTGATATGAAATTCCGCGTTGTACATGCACCCAGGACCACAGCTAATCGGGCGATGTCCTTGAACGTAGATTTGGTGAAGTCCAGCTCGGTTATGGCTGATGTGATCACCTTCCTCGTCCGTTTGTCGCCCTCGAGCTCAAGGACTGTACTCACATGAAGTGCAATTGACAGGTCTCTCGGGGATATACGTTCTCTCGCCAAGGCCCTTTTCAAAAGACCATCAATAGTCTCCTTGTCGCATACCGTCCAACGCCGTCCCTCCGCGAGGAAGTACAGCAGCTCGCAGCACTCACTCGGTTCTAACTGGTCTATTCTCTCAGAGACCACCCTGGTGAGGAGATCCATGGCCCCCCGGGGTGACAGAATTCCCTCACTTTGAAGGTGCTGACTATCTCGTTTCAAAAGCCTCATCAGATCTCGTGTTCTGCTGAGTAACACGTGGCCATCGTCAGCTTCTGATACGCCCTTTTCCAGTAAAGCCAATCGCTCAACAGCATGAGCAATTCCGCGATGGCTGATGCGCACGGCGGGAGGAAGTGCAATCAAGAGTTTTCGACTCATCAAAAACAATCTATCGAAACGAACCTCCACTTCATCGTGAAATTAACTAACCTATAGACTCTATTATCCAGTATTACTCATAAGTCCAACATCAAACAAGTGATAGTGTACGCGTCAGTAAAACGATACATGTCAGAGGCAAGTGGTCAGGCATCAGGTCGATCATGCGTTACTACTCTACAGCATGTTATAGCCCGTGAGGGAAAAAGGTTCTAAAACACCTCGAGGTCTCAATGAACGTCGACATTCTTTCTCTCATTCGAATTCGCCCTGTGGTATGCAAAAACGGCATAACCATGACGACGCCCAAGCCGAGGTCGAACGAGGAATCGGATTCCTATGAGCCGAAGAGGGCAGGGCCCCATCACTGAGTGGCTGGCCTCGTCTGACTGCGGTGTCGGAGCTCGACGTTGGACACGGTAGTCCGAGCGGGATTCTCTGGGAGGCAGCGAACGGCTATGTGGTTACTAGATAAACACACGAAGTATCGGAATCATTTTTTGCACGCCTGCACCAGAGATAATGGTTTGCACGCGTGCGCATGTCGATATGTACGCAATGCCGACGCCCAATATTCTCTAACTAGGGGCTCTCTAGAGAGTATATGAGGTTATGCATTCGATGGATCGGTTGGGAAAGGAGAAATATACATCCATCTCGTAGCCCCACTCACTGGTCTTTCGGGCGTCAACCGAGGTCCCAGTATTCGAGCAGATCCTAAATAGACGCATCACATGAACCTACTCATCATCTAGTGATACCTTCATCCCGTCCCTTTACTATTCCTCCGAGCTCACTTGAGACCATCGCCGATGAGCTTCGAAAGCTACAAGGCTACAACACACTGGAGCATTCTTCTTACTTCGTGGCTTGTGTCCCCTCAGAGCCTGTGCTCGCTATCCGTGAACGCTTCTCCTTCCCAAAGGGTGATCTAGACAAGACAAAATGAGCAGGTTCCAATCGGGCACGAACCGCACCTTCCACTACTCCCTGAATCACCGTATGCATGTGTCACCACCTAGTAGATGATAGGAGCACGGAAGAGGCCTTAGGCTCACTAAGTCGTAGTCATCCGCCATCATATCTTGCAGAGTGCCTTCCGGTACAGGGCTCGGTAGATTCTAATAAAGCAACAATCACTGTCTCTTGACCGCTTACTGAAGCTCACGGCAACCCCTAGCAGAATTCTGCAAACACCCCCAGGGGTTCCGGGCCGTTCCTCAACCGCTTGATCTTCACTCGTGAACATCGTCTGTGGATAGAAGAAGAGGCGTTGAGATTTGCATGAGCCGGCTCACGCTCTCAGGTGGCGGCAGACCTAGGGCGATGAAGTATTGCGGAGCCTCAGCGGCGTATCGTAATGGTGCATGTGGCGCCCCTCGCTCCCAGAGGTTTCCACGTATAGTCGGAAGCCCCAAACACCTTGGAAGAACAAGGCTCAGCATGCAGGAGGATGACCCACCTATGACAAGCGGCCAACAACTCGCGTTCTCTCTCTCCAGCGAAGGTATAGCTGAGAACCGGAAAGACTTTCGGAATGTGCATGTGTCGAGGAGAGCGCTCGCGGTGGGCAGCCCTGACCTTGAGCTCAGGTGGTTTATCGGATAGAAACTCGTGATAGTCATTTTGCGTCCTCCATACCGCACCTCGAGCTGATCGTCGTGGAAGTGCCTACAGACCAATCTCAGTAACCATGAAGTTAGTTTGACCGTTACCTAGCAATGTCATCAACGTCCTTCACATAGACGATTTTCCGTCGCTTTTCTTCGGGCACTAGGCCGCTGATCAACTTCTCGAGAGCAGACGGAGCACTCGTCACAAACGTGAGAGCAGACCGTCCCACATAGTGCTCAGCTAAGACCTGAAAAAACACTTTCTCACAGTCCGCTCCCTCCACACTGAATGGAGCGTATCAATTCGAAGGTCAATGCTGTCGTCGGCTTGTTTCCGAACCGAGATGCTTGTAATTCAACTTCATAAAGTCATTCAGTCAACCTAACCCCTGGTATACTAGAATGTGAGTCTTACCCCGAATATGGCTCGCGTCCGCGACACCGCCGGCAAGAACTGCATGAGGCCAATATTTCCCAAGTCGAGGAGGGTGACGGTACTTTCACACTTCCCCGGGAGAAGCATATACCTATCTTCCGGAGAAGAGCCACGCTAGTTCAAACGTCGCCTGGGCTGACCGTATGATGAACTCCATGAGGAAGCACACACATCGTAGGGAAGTATTCTGGTCCACAGCATGTCTCAGTATCTCCGTCACTCGTACCACAAGGCACGGTCGCAAGAGCTTGTCTCGTCCCGAAATGTAGACAAAACCCTGATAGACTCATACTGGATGACTGAGGCCGTGTCGCTCGAACAAAAGGACTTGCCAAATTGAGGTCATTGAAGATCTCCCTGTCATCGATCGGCTTGCTGAAGAACGACTTTCCTGAGCAGACGGAGAGGAAGCGCTCTCGATACGGCTATGTGTACAATAGCACAGAATGATCTCACTCCAGCTTTCTGTTTCCATCATCATGTTTGCCACTTTCCTCACACTTCCAGCTGCAGCGTGCAGGTATCTGAACGACCGATAATTTCGCATCTTCATGGGAAGTAACCATGCGGTTTGCCGGACCTCAGCCTCTTGGACTCCATCCGCCTCCTCAATGCGATACCTAGACGGCAGAGGTGCTCAGTTAGCTCCTCCAGCTGGTCCAACTCATTCTCAAGCAGTGGCACCTGTACAGGCGACAACTAGTGAATAGAAATGCCAGACGAGACTTCTCACATTGCAAAAGATACGTCGCTCGCTCGATCCATCATCGTAGCGAGAGAAAATGTGCTCATCAGTAGCTTCGAGCGCCAACAGCTCTGGTGGGAGAGTGAAGGGTCCGATAGGCCAATTAATGGCAATGCTCATGCAAGGATCAACTGAATGAGCATCCGACGGTTTTCGATCACAACGAGCGTCTATAGCGCCGCACCATCAGTAGCGGTAAATCAATATAACGCTCCGTCCTCCGCGACTTCAGCAGCTGGAAGATGAGCAATGGTGAGGGCGCCACAGCGAAAAAGAGTGAAACAAACCGTCCGACAACATACAATGCCTTTCTTCTAGGGGAATCACCACACATCCAATCGACACACGATTGTCCACCACCCATGATACTGCTATCAGGGTGAACCATAAATGGCTCCCTATCCCTATTATCGCAAGCCGCGAAGACGTCGTGCTCACCAAGAAAAATCATACCCTAACCCGAAACCAGAAATCAATGCTCTCTGCGAGTGGTCGGCCATTCAGTCAAGTAGGATGCAATCTAGTAGATGAGGGTGATTGACGGACACAACAGATGGAATAACAGAAACGGTCACAGCTCGGTGTCGTCGTCATGAGCAATCTCACTTATACATGCCTCAGGCAGAGGCCATGTCTCCTCCACTCGAGGGAGTAGACTGTGTGGGAGAATGTCGGCCAGAGGCGGGTGACGAGGAGAAAACAGAGGCTTGAGTCCACCTTCCTTGGATGGCCCGTAGGCCCGGTAGCAGTGGACGAACATGATTTGATATGTATCACGCTTGATAGTCATTGCTGGCACGCGTGCAAAGGCGTCAATGTTCCAGTCTTGACTCAAACGATCGGCCACTTGTTTCCATCTCCTCGGGAGCTTGTACTTCGTAATGAAGTGAATCGCCTTAGGCCGATTGTCGTCCTCGAGACCACGACATTCGAAGAACACCGAGTAGTAGAGCAGCCCTTTGTCCGAGGTAGCGGCCTCAAAGATAGCTCTCACTTCCTCATCATCTACCTCATAGGGCTGCCTGCGGCTCGGTGTGTTGCTCTCCGGCCAAGTCCATAAGTATGTTCGAGCCTGCGTCCTCAGGTTCTCGTCGTTCACACACTTGAGCTCGACATCAACAATCTCACCTGAATCGCTATGCTCCTGAATCGACTCTAAGATTTACTGTCCGCAAAGGCTTAGGACATAACCTTCACAGAAGTTCGAGTAGAGACGCTAAAACGGCGAGTTCTCAAGCCAGCGACGTGATTCCATTCACCCTAGAATGTTTAATAAGAAAGCTCACCTTCAGAATTCTCCTCCTCATCGTCTGTCACAACAGGAACGACCCCAATCTTCGTGCAGTTACACCTCGAACACTTCTTACATGCACTCTTGGTGGCTAGAGCTGACACAGTCCCAGACGATATGATGAACGGCACCCGGCCAAAGGCGGGGCTTACTTCGTTCCAACCACTCCTTCTCCTGCTCCAACGTTTCAATACCTGATCAGGACGAGAATCGGCAGATCTCCAGCTGAAAACTCACGTCGTCTGAGGGACATGTTCTCTTGACATAAGGAATGGATGGCTGAATGACAAAACTCAAAAGGCGGTGGCAGTTCATTGTAGCTACTTTCCGGATCACAGTCGGCCCATGGAGGGTACTGGATAGTATCCTCATTGGACTCGATCGCTGGCAGGCTCGGACCTTAGACGAAATTCTATAGCGCTATAATCTGCCTGTCAACCGATGCTTAGCACGTCGAACTACTCTACTGTGCAGTTTCTTTTCAAGTCGATGAGTTGTGTTCGCCTTAGGACACTCTCAAAGTCACACACGTGCTGGAGCTAAACTACAGAACACATAACGAGGAAGGCGACCTACTGAAAGGAGGCTCATCTCGAAGTGCTCCATTAAGGCTATGGTTAATATCGACTGAGGCGTCCCGCTTACCATCATTCGTAAATGTCCGCTGGGCTCTGTGAGGAAGCTTGGGTGACGCGTTAGGCATATTTCAAAGCAGCTTGGACTAACTCGACGGAGGCCTCGACTGCCGCTGATGGTCGCAGATTACTACTCACAGATTTTTGCTTTTTCGCAAAGACAAGTCAATCAGCGAGCTTACGAGACAAGCAGTACGATACTTTACTATCGAGCCCATCCACTTCCACTAACGAACACAACAGATGCAAAGGCCGACGGAAGCGCACTCAACATTTCCATGCATGGAAGAAATCCATCACATAGAGTCATGACAACATGGGGGAGCTGCAGGGGCCATTCCTATGAGTGAACCACAACGGGAACGAGTTCGGGGAGTATGTCGATCGTGTGCAGCGTTATGGGATCACATTGAGGCACTCAATAGTCGGGGACAAGAAACAACATTAATCATGCTTTGTCCGTGTTACGGTATCGTTCGGTGAGAAGCCAGTCAGCGAAGCAACGGCAGCAGGGTTTGATGGGTTTTTCCCTCTCATCCCTCTCCAACTTGTGTGGGAAGTAATGACATCGTCCTAGCCTTTCACGAAGGGCGTTCCTATGTCGTTCTCCTTGTGGCTCAGGGAGCGAATTACAAGTGATAAATATTGGTACCAACTCGTCGAAAGTGGTGGTATTATTCACCTCAACAGGGCGGCCTTCGAGGAGGCTGAGGAGCGTCTCCAAGTCCAATCCGTCACCCAGGTGCTCCAAAGAGAATTGATTGAACAAGATGCACTCGCAGTCGGATAGCCCCTTCAGTGAGAGCTTGCCCTTCTTGGGAACCTTAGCGCACTTCAGAATTTGAGCTAGAGGTCGCAGTATAGCAGCCTTGCCACTGAAGGGCACACCATAAATCACCACGTTCGTCTTACTCGACCGACCCTCCTCGATATTCTCTATTATGTCCTCTCTCAGCTGTTGAGCTCCCTCT